CGCTTGTGGGCGGGCGTGTGGGCGGGGCGGGAGCTGCGGCCGGTCTTTACACAGTTTATGTGCAGCTACCCCGAAAGTAAGACCTAGCGGATTTCTGTAATATAAGACCTACCACCGAACTAGGTCTTACTTTCGGGGAAACACGGTATTTAACACACATATGCTAACTAGGTTTTTATTGTGTAAGTTTATTGACCAGCTGACCGTCCTGATTTCAGGGTGTTGATTGTACACACAGGAACAGCTGTAGGGAATTTTGTCAAAACCTGTTTAGTTAACTAACATCAAAGGGGTAATGAGACCAGCCAATCAGAAATCCTTTCAGTGTTAGTGACTGGCACTAAACTGTATATGAAGAGAGCTGACAGTGGCTAGAGAGGAGAGTCATGCAGAGAGGCACAGAGGTGCTTATATAGATTGGAGATGTATGCTGGGTAGATAGAGTGAGTTAAGTTAAAGGGACCTGCACCTGAATATGAATAAAGGTGCACTCCACTACAGCGCCATTAGTGGTAATTAAATCCACACAAAGACACAGAAAGGTGAAATCTGGGAGCTCCGAGTACGCAGCGCACAGTACTTACCTTCTGGGTGATCGATACTGAGAACGCTGGAGGCCTGCAAAGAAGAGAGGAGAGTCAGCGCTGGAATGTGATCTGACTGTGCACTAAATACATCCTAACAATCACATATAATTGTCATGTATGTATGGACTCTGCACAGTACCACTTCCCTTGTCCTGTATGCCGGGTGTCATTCTTGGTATCTGTTCCTATTCTGTATGTATGGACTCTGCACAGTACCACTTCTCTTGTCCTGTATGCCGGGTTTCATTCTCGGTATCTGTTCTTATTCTGTATGTATGGACTCTGCACAGTACCACTTCCCTTGTCCTGTATGCCGGGTGTCATTCTCGGTATCTATACTTATTCTCTATGTATGGACTCTGCACAGTACTACTTCTCCTGTCCTGTATGCCGGGTGTCATTCTCAGTATCTGTTCTTATTCTGTATGTATGGACTCTGCACAGTACCACTTCTCTTGTCCTGTATGCCGGGTTTCATTCTCGGTATCTATACCTATTCTCTATGTATGGACTCTGCACAGTACCACTTCCCTTGTCCTGTATGCCGGGTGTAATTCTCGGTATCTGTTCTTATTCTGCATAAATGGACTCGGCACACTATGTGGGCATCTTAACATCTATCCGTTTCCTGCCAGTCTACTATTGGTTCACCCGGAGACTCACTTTCTGATTGGATGTTGGATGAAGCGGGCTCCCAGTATCCTGACCCCTCACCAGTGGCCCCTGGCTGCCATGTCCTCTTTCTGCCCCCGATGACAGAGGGTCTGTGTGCAGCTCACTTCTGGGGTCCTGATCCGGGAGCTGAATTCCATTGTCACTGGATTGCCTGCCTAACAGATCCCCGTCCTGTGCTGTGGATCTGTCGGATCCTCTGGGGACTATCTCCGCTTTGATGAGTTCTGATTGGACCTTGTTGTCTTCCTCTAGGGCGGAGTCGTTCTGGGCCGTTGTCACCAGCAGGGAAAGCAGCAGAACCTGCAGAAGTCTCCGGAGAGCCGCCATGTTGTCATTGGGGAAATCCCTCAGCGTTGAGATCCATAAGAAGGAGGAGCAGGTCAGGGCCGATCCCTCATGTGATCCCTGCGGAGAAATGGAAGATACTTATTATTAAAAGGAGAACTATGGGGTCAGGGCTTTTCCCCATAGTTCTCCTTAGGGTAGCGGGAGGACACAAACTAGCGTCCTCCCGTTACCCTAGGCTCAGTATATAGCGAGCTGTAGCTCCCTATATACTGAGACCGCCGCGGCTGAAGCGGATGCCGACAATGACGTCTGCATCCGCCCAGCTGCGTGACTGACAGCTGGCTCTGCCTATCTAGAGGCAGAGCCAGCTGTACCCGCCCCCTCCCCGTCCGTTCCGCCAGTCAGCGCTGGCGGGTCAGAGCGGGGAGGCGGCAATCCAGCCCCTCCCCTGTCATGGCAGAGAGCTGTGACAGGATCGAGAAGTGAGCGAGCGCCGGTATGTGTTCCCTCACCTCCCGATCTACTGAGCCGACCTGTGACAGTCTCATTGTCACAGGTCGGCTAGAACTATGAGGTGAGTAAAAATCACCCCCCCTCCCCCCTCATAGTTCTCCTTTAACCAGTTGACATCCGCGG